AAACCTAGAAAACATGAGGCGTTAAAGAATGGTAAAAAGTTGACTGGAGATAAAGCCGGTATGTGCAGTTCGGATTTCATTCACCCGGATAGAAAATCCTCTTCTTTTGTTTGTTCTGACAATATTGTAAAGTTGACCTTGTCTACGGAACATATGAGTCGGGATAATGGACAACATCAACAACAACCCAGTAAGGTACCACAACAAGTGGGGCCCGGGATGAGTCCGGATTATGTAAAGTTAGGTAATAATGATGATGACGAAAACTCTTTTCCGTGTATCGGAGGTCAAAGGCATGCCAAGAAGTCAATGGCATCTCCACACCCAAGCACTGGTGAGATTTTGCTTCAGTTAGTATTATTGGGGTGCAGAGTGATTTGCTTCATATATAATGTGATATTACGCTTTTGTCCACAGATGTTGAAACAGCAAAGCATGATTCAAGCAGTGATAATAACAGCGTATTGAACTCTGGAAGGTCTCTCAGAGATTACCCTTTCAAGAAAAGGAAGCTCTATGCTTGTAGTGACGCGTCCAATTCTGACAGAGGGAAAACTAATGATGGAATTTATAGTTCTAATTCAAATGATGGAATAGGTTGTTTCCCAGAGCTCTTCTTTTTTCTTGTTTGGTTATAACATTGTTTTTAGTACGGAGTAATTTATTCTTTATGTTTTCCTATAAATAATGGCAATAATTAGCAGTTGCTGACATATGCGTTTTATTCTGGCAGAAGATCAAACAGTGCACGGGACGTCAAACTCTGCAGCAAGGGGACATCCATCCTTTAGGTCAGGTGATTCCCGAGGTAAGATTTTTTTCCCACAATAAATGTGTCGAAGATTTTACCACATTTTCTAAATATGAATTAATAGGCACACTAAAATAAGTGGTCAACAACCTTTGCTACTAAAGAAAGCTCTTTTAATTTGGAGTTGAGCCAGGTGCAACACTTATTCTTAACAGAACTGTTCAATTTACTCAGTGAAGCTTGGAATTAAGTCTTTCAGAGTCCCAGAGCTTTTTATCGAGATTCCTGAAACCTCAACCATTGGCTCCTTAAAGGCTAGTGAAGAAAAAAATGAATTTGAATAATAATAATAAATGCATTCGTTAATTTCAATAATGGTACTGATAAATATGAGTAATGTGTATAGAGATCGGTTGTGGAAGCTGTGTCTGCAATTCTTCATGGTAGGCTCCGCGTCGGTGTGCTTTTTCAGGGCAAGAAAGTTAGGGATGACAATAAAACCTTATTGCAAACCGGAATTTGTCATGACAGTAAACCCGATTCTCTGGCGTTTTCCCTTGAACCCGTTCCTTCCCAAGAGCATCCTTATTTACTTTCTTTTGATGCACCTCAACCACAAAGAAGGTATTTCTTGCTTCTCAACTACTCCCTTCGTCCTGTAAAGAACATCATAATTTGACTTCACGGAGTTTATAAAAAGAAAACTGAGTGATTAGTTAGAATTTGTTTGGAAGAGAGAGAACTATTGTGAGCCACGATCCGGTTGTGCTTTGTGGGACATCTGCCCTACTTGTTAGGCTGTGGTAGTCTGTTTGGGGCTTGGTTTGGACCCAAGATATGTGTTTCATAAGATATGTTCTTTTCAACTTTTTATTTTAGTTATCCAGACTACAGATTCCAGTTACTTCCTCCTAGGTCATACTCCCTTCGTCCCAAAAAAAGGCTCCCAGTTTGACTTGTCACAAAGTTTAAGGAAAGTGAAAATGTGTGGTTGAAAGTGATGCAGAGGAGAGAGAAAGATTGTGAGCCACCCAAAGTTTTCCTAAGAGGAAAGAGTAGGCTTTTTTTGGAACGTCCCAAAAAAGGAAATAAGGAGTCTTTTTTTTGGGATGGAGGGAGTATTATTCTGGATTAAGAGTTATAAAAAATCAAGTTATAATACACATTTCTTCCACCAGGTATTCACCTGCTCGAAATGTGGTCGATAACGCACCGCAACAGAGATCAGTCAATACATCTTCAGGAACACATTTGATCAATTTTATGGAAAGCGATCCCGATTCTGCCCCATCCCCTCTCAGTACATCCTCATTAGACAAACGTGCATCGGATTCGAGGGCATTGGCCCCTGTGAATGTGGTGGACCCCACACGTGCCATAGTTCCAGCGAGGAAACCGAAGAGGTCCGAGGCAGCTCAACGCCGGATTCGTCGGCCATTCTCTGTTTCTGAAGTTGAGTCACTTGTCCAAGCTGTCGAGAAGCTCGGAACCGGAAGGTATTGTCATTGGCGTGTGAGAGTTACAGTCACAACTCTTTAGGACCCGTTTGGAAGTTCAGTAAATGCTAGAAAAATGAAATGTGGGGGAAAATAAAACATCGGTTCATCCTCACATTAGTGTTGCTTGTTTTTGCAGGTGGCGTGATGTTAAGCTGAGAGCTTTTGACAACGCCAAACACAGAACTTATGTTGATTTGAAGGTAAGAATTTAGTCGATGTCAAAGATACGTTAGATGGCATATGAGGGCTCGTTTGGTGAGTGGTTCTTATATCTCCTTGGTGAAGTCTAAACATGATTCAAATTTGATATCTCCCAATATAATAACTTCCTAAATTAAAGTGTTTTGATATTTTCTAATTTGGGAGATATTCATCCGGAAATTTTGTTATGCCCTTCAACTATTGGCTGCTGGTGGGCGGTGACTCCCTCCCGCTTTTGGCCACCCCACGTCTACCACTAACAACCATCATTTTAGATCTCTCCACTCTCATTTCAACTTTTAGAACTCGTATCATGTCAACCATGCTTCGCTCACCAAACGGGCCTTGAGATATAGTCAGAGTCATTTCCATGGATGGTCTTTGTTTTGAATTAATAATAATATTAATATCACTCCATCTTTCCCAAAATAAAAAATGACAGTTTGACTTTTGCAAGCAAACTTCATCCAATTTGACCACCATTTATTCATACATTGTAATGTTTTGTGATATGAAAATTTATTTTCTAAGGCAAAAAAAAGCGCATCTTAAGAATGTATACATTCAACAACAACATCCCAGTAGGTAAATTCATTTATAGGTAAATTCTTTCGTAATCCTAAGGTTCACACTCATTTTATGGATCTTAGTATATCGATGAATTGGATTCTTTGAAAAAATAAAAGATTCCCATGTTGGCCCACCAAAAGTGTGAGAAGGCCCACATTTCACATGTGAATCTTAGGATCATGGAAGCACAACTCTACTCTATAATACAATAGGATATGTTGTGTAGGATAAATGAGTTACAATTATAAAAATATTATCAAAATTACCCATTTTTAGGCTGAATTTTTTTTCTTTGAAAAATTTTATGGGACGGAGGAAGCACTACGATGTAAGAATAATTAAGGGTCAAATTTGATGAATTTTTAATGTAAAAATCAAATTGCTGCCTTTAGTTCAAGAGATAATAATAATAATAATAACAATAATAATGCACAGGACAAGTGGAAGACGTTGGTGCACACGGCAAGAATCTCTCCTCAGCAGAGGAGAGGTGAGCCAGTACCGCAAGAGCTCTTGGACCGAGTCTTGATCGCTCATGCCTATTGGTCACACCAGCAGGCTAAGCATCAAATGATGAAACAAAAGGAGGCCGAGACGTGCCTTCTTCTCTAAAACTGCATCTATATATATATATATATATATATCCATCTCCTCGTCCTCTTTTACGCCTTGTTTTGTAAAAAAAACATGTGTATGATGATGCACTTGTAAAGTGATTAATAAGTGCTGGCTGACAATTTTTTTTCATCCATAAATAAGTGCCTTTTTTTTGGAATATATTGTAGCCATCTTTTTGCAAAGTGTAGAGCATATATATGTTGTAATTAAGGCAGCTTTGTTCAGCTGGTGTACATAAAAAACATGTCTTGTGAGGAGAAGTATTTTCTTCTGCTTGATTAATAGTGTAATAATCTCCATTGCAGTATAATGGTCTTATATTATGCTCTTATGAGAATTTGATAGTGATTATGTGTTGCATAAGGTTTATATGCAATAGAAAGTTCACTTTTTTTTGAAAACATAAGAAAGTTCACTTTAATTTCGCAGAGATTAAATTTGTTGAAGAGATGTTGAATAGTGAAAAACGAATGGTTAAAGTTCATTTAAAAGTTAAATATTTTGGACCATATTCTTTGCTAAAAAATTAAAAGAGAAATAGTGAATTATTTGAGATATGAAAAAAGAAAATGGAAAATTTTAACTCAGTAGGCAAACCACCATATGCGGTGGGGTAAGGAGTGGGCAACCCTTGCCAAATTTCAGTTATCAGCAAAACCAAATAATAAAAGAGGAAGGACCTAACCGAGGCTGAATGCCAACCCCCCGTACCGAGGACAGACTCCCCAGGGATTATAATAAGAAACAAATAAAAGGGATGAAGAAGAACCCTAAAAAGGCTTAATTAGAGCAACAATAAGTCCTACTATCAAAAGCACATTGTTAAGTTAGGGCATGACCAGTGCCACAAACAGGTCTAAGGTACAAAGCAAAAACCAGAAACTAAAAACCAAAAGCCATAATATCAAAAACCGAAAACCAAAAACCAAGGTCTGTGTGTTATGGTTTACGGTTTAGGGTTAAAGAGAAAGCTTTTACTTTGAACCAAAACACAAACAAAACAAAAGCAATCCAGTCAAGTGTCAACTGGAAAAAAGATGTGTCAAACATACCCCACCAGTCTAATTCTCCCTAGATCAGCACAACCCAAATTATGCCCTCCACAAGAAGGGTTACTAGCTGGAGCAAAGCTAGGACTTTGCCTTATATCCGATTGATGAGAGAGAACACATTCTACAATTTTTGCTAAGTGTATAAAAAAACACTGCATCGCCCGATTGAGTTGACAGTAATTCGTTCTACCTTACAATCATAGGAACACCCACTCTACACGAGTATTAATGTAGAACTACATTTTTAAAAGGTTGTATAACTTATAATCATAAATGTGTTACTTACGAAACGAAAGTTGTGCTGAGAAACAATCGTTGAGCTTGAACCCATATCCGACTTGTATCCATTAAGTCTAAAAACATTGGACCCATATCCTTAAGAATAGGTCTGGGTCGAGATCCTGTGCTATCCTTAGTCAAGTCTTCTTGCTTCGTCCACAAAAGCTAGCTAATGAGTGAAGATCTGGCATTGATACAGACGACAAGACGATGGAGAAGACTTTGTTAACTACAAAAAAAAAGCAAAGTTTCACGTTGGAATAGCAAGATCGTGTAGTTGCATAGCTATTTTTTTTAAATATAATGACTGGTGCAAGAGATCTACCTCAAAAAGAGCTTGTGTTGCATAGAGTGATATATCTATATCTATCGTAGTTTGTGCGTTTGCTGCGCAGGTACCCAGCAAGCACTACCACAAAGAAACCGACCTTTCCATCCATGCAGTATCCAAGGACCATCTTCATCAAACAGGAAATCTTTGTGATATCCTGCCTTCATCTTGCCTCTCAACTCCTTCACCAGTTCTGGGTTCAAGGGGAGAGGCTTGAACCCAGCCCTCATAATGCGCGATTGCCACTGCTTGTATGTTTCAGGCCTCTCCACTCTTTCTGCGCCCTCACATGCAATGATGTTCACAATGTGACGCCAGACAAATCGTTGCTCGAAATTCACTCTATCACGGTGGTGTAAAGTCGCATCAGACAAATCAAAGAGATCAGAGTAGAAGCAGAGGGCCTCCCGGAACCGAGTTAGAAAGAAATGAGAGTTGTAGGATCCTACCATTGTAGATTGCACGTATAAATGAGGATTTGCTTCCCTGATTAAGTTTAGAACATCATCCTTGGGGCTGCGCGAAACTAATGCTCTCTCATCCAATAGGTATCGGAATCGAAACAGACAGTTAACAACAACCACCTCACCACTTATAATCTTCAGGTTATCAATCTTAATTGTCTCCCAGTCATTGCTTGTTATGGCATTGTACCGGAATGGCACGCCAAAACGCTTGCAGTATTTCGCCAAGCGACAACCAGTCTCTTCTACCATTTGTGCCGGACGAAAACCAGGTTGGGGAAGCTCAATACCAGTTATTCGAAGTTTAGGTGGACCACCGGGTCTTTGTGAAAGATCCCGGATAAGAGTGGGCCACTGGATACCATAATTAATGCCAAAATCTATTACATGCAGTGAGTTGCCTTTCGACGCCACGTTGTAGATCATTTTATTCGCAAAGAAAATCGAAACCCTCATGACAGGCCAAGATGTAAGGTGGGTTTTTAACAACTCGCAAACGAACTCTTTATTCCATGTTAAGGCCATATATAGTTGTGTACCAGTTCCATTAAGCCGAGCCTCAAGAGCATTTGCAAATGCATGAGCCATCCTTTGGTATGCATTGCCAGTAGGTGACGAGTTCTGCCTGATCTCCTTCAATAGCTCTTTTGTCGTCCCGTGATCAACAGAAGCAATAGATTGTGCACAGCTGACTAAAAGAGAATGTAGATCGACAACTTCACAACTGTCTCCTCGGTTCTTTGAATGTCTTCTCCCATTACCCCGCCCTTTCCATTGGGTACCCTTTCGAACTCCAGGTGGAGAATCCATATTGTCAGTGCACAGAAAAACCTTATCAAACACCTCTGATAACTCAACTGCATCCTCATAAACTGCGGAATGCTTACTGCTCCTTTCTTCCCTTGGCTCACAATCATCATCTTGGAAGTGATGCTTCTTTCCTTTAGCCTTACCTGTATCAAGAACCAACTGACTACAAGCCGGAAAGAACCTTGTTCCTTCCTCCTTACCTCTATTGAATTGCAGGGCGAACTCATTAGCATAACTTATTAATATATTTGGAACCGAATTTGCAACTAGGAAAGAATTTGTTTCAGATTTCTCAATGTTGTCCAAGGAATGCAAAGATCTATTTTTCCTATCCGGCGTACACAATGACTGGAAAGAGAAGTCATGAGGAACGCTGACCCGAGATAGTTTTGATCCTCCGTGGTCAACATTACACTGGGGAACGGTGTCATACCTCACACTAATGGTGCTTCCATTTGTCCTATAATCACTGGAGCGCTCAGAATTGTTGTTGAAAAGAACAGGTTCTGGATTAGAGGGTGATGGGTTCTGATGTAGAGCTTCATAAAAGGAATCCTCAGCAGCTCGAAGTGCAATGGGATCATATGATGTGCTCTGGTCATTCTCATCATCCTCAAGCAGTATTTGGTTAAGGTACTTGATCACAGGATCAGATTCTGGCGTAGAAGCATTAGTACCGATACCAGTTGAAGGGGCATTTGTGACATCGAGAGGTAAAGATTCATCTTTCGAGCTCTCTGCATTATCCAGTGGTTGTTTTAATGTGGTAAGAATGATCTCTTTCCCCAGCTCGAATCTAGGAAGCGTGCTCAACGAATGATCCATGATCCTTGAACCTATATCTTACATACATAATACATATGGAAGACGAGTAAACAGCCCGACAACAAAAATATATGAACAAAAATATATGAACAAAAAAAACTGAATATCACACAACACAAGAACTTGGTAAAAAAAGATTTACTAACCTGCAGATATGTTGAACTGATCAGGAGGAAAAACTTATAAATTTCAAATTACATTTGATAGGAAAAAACAATGAAAACATAATGTATTTGAGCAAAACAGTCAAAATCAGTGAAAAGAATAAATCAAATAACAGAAAAGGCAAAAAAATAATGCAGAGCAGGGTTTCATACCGCCTTGTGTATGATACTAAGAATAGAGAGTATTGGCTTGTGAGATACCATGAAAAAAGGCAACTATCTCATCAGCATCTAATACTATTCAAGAGCCAAAGTTCAATGATAACTTTATTGAAATCCCAAATACCTTTTGACTCAAATTCAAGATGAGATCAGATCTGAAGAATCAAAGTTCAATGAGTATAATGTACACTTTTTAGGGATAAAAGTCTTATTTTGAAGCATATTTATCGGAGTAAATTCTCAAAATAGTACTCAATAAAACAATAACTATGTGTTTTCTCAAATTAGTCACCAAAATCAACTAATTTCTAAGCTGATACTCGTTAATTGAAAATAATGCTCAGTTCAATTCTCCCGACTAATAGCCGTTAAAACAACGTTAAGCTTTATGCTACTTTCCCAAAATGGTACTCTCAAATAGGGTGTTTTCTCAAATTGGTCCATTTTCGAAATAAAAATATATTAATTATGAAAAAATATTTTAAATTTTATAGGATGACAATATAATTCTAAAAACTATAATTATAATTTTATAATATTTAAAGTAAACGTTTTAGATTATTTACAATTATTTAGAAGAATATCATGTAAACAAAATGTTTAATAAATGTTAAAGAAGTCACCATAAATATGAGTAAAATATAGAGAAAAACTTCTATTTTGGTACTTTTTTATATTTTACTCCTATTTAGGATGATATTCTTCTAAATAATTGCAAATAATCTAAAACGTTTACTTTCAAATTTATAAAATTATATTTGTAGTTTTTAGTATTATACTGTCATCCTATAAAATTTAAAATATTGTTTCCATAATTAATGTATTTTTATTTCAAAAATGGACTAATTAGAGAAAACACTCGGTTAGAAAGTATCATTTTAGAAAAATAGTACTCCCTCCGTCCCGTTTTAAATCATCCGTTTTGATATTGGGGCATATTTAAGGAAGAGAAAAAATAGAGTTGATTTTCTGAAATTGACATTACTTTTTAGAAGGAGTGACAATGAATGAGAAGATAAGGCGGAGAAGAGTAACCTATTTTAGGGGTAATTTTGGTATTTTACTCTTAAAAGTTTACGATCACAAGAAACAAGCAACTTATTTTGGGACGGAGAAAAAAGGAAAACGGGCAATTTAAAATGGGACAGAGGGAGTATAAGGTTTAATGTCGTTTTAACGTCGTTTTAGCGATCGTTAGTCGAGAAGACTAGACTGAACATTATTCTCAATTAACGAGTACCATCTCGGGATTTAGTTAATTTTGAGAACTAATTTGAGAAAGACACATAGTTATTGAGTACAATTTTAGAAATTTACTCTATTTATTGATATAGCTCTTCTTTTTGTCTTTACTTTTTGAGCAGTGTGAGACGCGACGTCTTTTCCTTTTATTTTTACTTCTCTTCCTCTTTCCCCTTCCCTCCCTTTCTCCTTTCTTTTCATTTTTTAATCGGAAAAATTTTCCAGAATAATCCCAAATTTACTTGGTTTTCAAAAATAATCACATCTTTGACTGTGATATATAATAAGCCCAACTATATTGAAATTTACGAGTTTTAAGTCACTGTTAAGTTGCTAGCGACGAGTTAAAGGAGACGGCATGTTTTGGTAACAAAATAAAAGCTGTCATTATCTTTGATGAATTTTCGTTTTTACTTCTTTTTTAAAAAAATCATTTAAATTTTTTAAAATGACTTTCTACACCCATTTCTTTTTCGTTTTTTTAAATATTAGTTGTACTTTAGAAAAAATAAATATAAAAATAAAAAAAATGAGAAAAATAACTAAAAGGATACAAAATTAATAAAATAAACAAGATAATCAATTGAAATTAAACTGGAACTGGTAAAAAATAAAGTAAAAGTATAAACAGTGAAGAGTTCTAACATTTTACGCACTATACATAGTATTAATGTACTACTTATTTTTTGAAACAACGGGTAAATTTGGGATTATTTTAGATAACGTTTTTTAAAAATAAGAAGTGATACATTAATATTCTGTATAGTACGTAAAATTTTAAAATCCACCACTCTGTATATTTTTATTTTATTTCTTACGAGTTTTAGGTTAATTTTTATTGATGATCCTTATTTATTTCATCAATTTTGTATGATTTTAGTTGTTTTTCTTATTTTCATTATTTTTATATCTATTTTTTTTATTTTTATCCCTAGTTGGACTGAACTAATCTTTTAAAAAAAGAAATGATGGAGGTAGCAAGTTTTTTTATAAGTTTAAAAGGAAATTTCAAAAAAACAAAATAAGAAACAAAAATTCATAAAAACATTCGCAACTTTCTTTTTGTTGCGCAAAACAGACCGTTTCCGTAAACATGTTGTTAGTAAGTTTACGGCGACCCAAAATTTGTAAATTTCAGTAAAGTAGAGATTATTGTGCATCATAGGGAAACATGAAATTATTTTTGAAAGACGGTAAAATTAGGATTATTGTAGATAATTTTCCTTTTTAATACTCCCTCCGTCCCAAAAAGTCTTTCCTGTTTACTATTACACCCTCTCGATAACTCCAATTTGTTTGCATGTTTTCATTGATTATTTTATAAAGTAAAATATTTTTGTCACCTCTTATTTTGTAGAGTTTTTGATATAGTTTCTAAATATAATTTTTTATGTGTTACTTCCTTACCGATTTTCAAATAAAATTATTTTAAAATCCACAAGGTTTTGCACGTTAATCAATGTAGGAAGTTCTTTCTGGGACGGAGGGAGTATTATGTTTTATTGCTTAATTTGATTTAAGTACTTAGATTAAAGTTTTAAACTAATTGTTTCATAGGAAAGTTAAAAATTAAAAATACATTGCGTAAAGTAAAAAAAAAAAAACAATAACACATCACAATTTCTATAGTTAGATCTTTTCTTGTTGATTCTTGATATTTGGCATGTTTATTTCTTTTGTCATCTGAGGCGAGCAATATAGTTTTTACGAGTCGTGCAGTCAGGTATAATACCCATTTTTGTATTCGACCCCCAACAGAAACCGTAAACGACGTACCGAGAACATTCGATGTCAAAGGTTGTTAGTTTGGGGAGCAGCAGGCCGGCCAGGTAGGCACCCAACATATATAATGTAGTATCCAATTCAAGGACCATCTTGATCATCAAGCAGGAACGTAACGTACTCTTTGTGATGATACCCTGCCTGTATTCATGCCTATCAACTCCGATCCTTCAAGAGTTGTGGGTTTAAGGGAAGAGGCTAGGCTTGAAACCAGCCCTCATAATGCGTGCGTGCCTGATTCCCACTGCTTGCATGTTTCGGGTCTATGTCGTTAAAGCTTCAATGTCAAAGATATAGATGATAATGTATAGAGACAATCATGACACTACGTAATGCGTAACATGTCAATAAATAACCTCAAAAACACAATATAATGCCAATAAATAAATTAATTTGCCAACATATATATAATGTCACATTCTCATCACACATCAAATTCCAAAAACAAAAACAAAAAAAGAACAAAAATTTGTGTTGAAAATAAATTGAAGAAAAGCACTATTTGATTACTTTTTGTTTGACATCTTATTTATTGATCACGATGTTAACATTCCCAAATTCATTATTTTGATCACGTTATTTTTTACACAAAAAAAATAATTTGATGAAGCTAAGAGCCGGAGCAAGGATTTCGTGTTATTAAAACTAAATTTTAAACCAATGTTGAACCAGTATTTACTCTTATCCTTTATCTAATTGAAATGCTTAATTCAAGTAGAAATCACGCTAAATAAGACTAAAACATAGAGAAAAGTACCAAAATATGATTTTCGTGTTTTTTTTCAAAATAAGACTTTGCACTGTGGTAATTTGGTAGTGTATATGTGCACATTACTATACTTTTTTGGTAATGTATATGACCATGTTTCATAATGTAAGTCCTATTTCAGGAATAAAATACATGGAAGTTCTATTTTGGTATATTTTTAATGTTTTAGTCTTACTTTGATCTTTTTCCCTAATTCAAGTTTGAAAACGGTTGAAGTGACTTTTTTAAATTTAAAATTAATTTATGTATAATTTTGGGATAAAAACATGTTACTCTTATTTAGATGATATATAATTAATACGTTATAGGCCAACGAAAGTAAATTTCTTTTTAAAAATTACTCCCTCTGTTGATTTTGGATCTTTTAATTACGCGTTATAGGATTTGATCGATTTTATTTCTAATTCAATTTATTTAATTGTAGTGTAAAAATAAAAAATACTCCGTACATTCTATATAATAAGAAGGTTATTACTAAATTGACTCCTCGTTTGACTATATCCAACCCATCTACGGAGTATATTAAAACACCAAGGTTCCCATGACATTGCCCGGCAGGCAATGTCATGGGATGACCTGGAGACGCTCCGGTGCCTTGTTCGTAAAATTGACGGTTCCTACCCCCCATAANGTAAAATTGTCCTTTTATTATTAAATGGGATAGATTTAACCGAATAAGAGGTGGATTTAGCATCACCGTAATAAAAAACAACATAAAAATTTCTACAAAATAAGAGCTAACTTTACAATATTATTTTATGAAATAAATAATGAAAATAGTTAAAAATTCACTATTTTTGGCTTTGGGGTGTAATGGAGTAAAGCAAAATCGATCTCTAAATGGTTTGTGTTTCTTTAATTAATGAAGTACGGAGTAGCAGTTAATTAATCAATGCAACTTTCGACGCAGAGCTGGGGGTCTTGTTGGAAACAGTCTCCCTACTTTCAAGTAAGGGTAATGTCTGCATACACACCTTTCCCAGACCCTACTCTTGTGAGATTGAACTGAGTTGTTTGTAATAGTGAAAATAACTAAAAAATTGTTGTTCGATAACTCAGTTTTGTGGTAAGAACTTTTGTGTCCCCTCATTTTCCAAAAACTAATTCCATAGGGACTTTCCGTCCATCTCTACGTCATAACACTTGTTCGGTAATCTTTTCATATGTTGAAAAATGATGGGACATGGAAGTTCTTACCCCAAAAACATTCTTTTTAAAATAAACTAACAAAGTGGGTAAAGTTTGACGTCATGAATAGTGCATGTGAAGAATCAACTTGGACGGAAGGAGTCATTGTAAATTTGTAGAGATGATGTTGGCAAAAGATGGATTTATCAAAAACTGTGAAGCCTAAAGAGTAACAATAAAGGAAGATGAAGATGGAGAAAATTATGACAAGGCTTTGTTAACTGCAAAGTTCCAATTTTTATATTATGAAAGTTCCATGTTGGAATAGAACAACTACAAACTAAAAATCAATCTATCTATCTATCATAGCTTGTTAGTTTGGTGTGCAGGTAGGTACCCAGCAAGCACTACCGCAAAGAATCCGACCCTTCCACCCATGCAGTATCCAAGGACCATCTTCATCAAGCAGGAACTCTCTGTGATATCCTGCCTTCACCTTGCCCCTCAACTCCTTCACCAGTTCTGGGTTTACGGGGAGAGGCTTAAACCCAGCCCTCATATTGCGCGATTCCCACTGCTTGTATGTTTCAGGCCTCTCCACTCTTTCTGCGCCCTCACACGCAATGACATTCACTATTTCGGGCCCAACAATTTTTTGTTCGAAGCTCACTGCGTCACTGTGGTTTATGGTCGCATCGAACAAGTCAAAGAGATCAGAGTAGAAGCAGAGAGCCTCTCGGAACCGGCTTACAAAGAAATGAGAGTTGTGCGATGCTAACAGCGTAGCTTGCACGTATAAATGAGGGTTTGCTTCCCGGATTAGGTTCAGAACTGCATCCTTTGGGCTGTGTGAAACCAAAGCCCTCTCATCCAATAGGTGCCGGTATCGAAACAGAGAGTTAACAATCACCACCTCACCACTCATAATCTTCAAGTTATCAATCTTAATTGTCTCCCAGTCATTGCTTGTTATGGCATTGTACTCGAATGACACACCATAACGCTTGCAGTATTCAGCCAAGCGACAACCAGTCTCTTCTACCATTTGTGCCGGACGAAAACCGGGTTGGGGAAGCTCAATTCCAGTTATTCGAAGTTTGGGTGGACCACCAGGTCTTTGTGAAAGATCCCGGATGAGAGTGGGCCACTGGATACCATAATTAATGCCAAAATCAATGACATGCAGTGATGTGCCCTTTGAGGATACCTCATAGATCCTTCTATTCGCAAAGAAAATTGAAACCCTCATGACAGGCCAAGATGTAAGGTGGGTTTTTAGCAACTCACAAACTAACTCTTTATTTTGTGTTGAGGCTGCACTTAGTTGTGCGCCAGTTCCATCAAGCCTTGCCTCAAGAGCATTTGCAAATGCATGAGCCATCCTTTGGACTGCATAGCCAGTAGGTGACGACTTCTGCCTGATCTCCTTCAATAGCTCTTTTGTGGTCCTATGGTCAACAGCAGCAATAGATTGTGCACAGCTGGTTAAAAGGGATGGTAGATCCACAAATTCAGACCTGTTTCCTCTTCTCTTTGAATGTCTTCTCCCATTACCAAGCCCCTTCCATTTGGTACCCTTTCCATCCTCAGATTGAGATTCCATATCGTCACTGCACAGCAAAACCTTATCAAACACCTCTGATAACGCAACTGCATCAGCACACACTGCCGAATGCTTACTGCTCCTTTCTTCCTCTGGCCTGCCATCATCATCTTTGTGGTGATGCTTCTTTCCTTTGGCCTTCTTACCTGTATCAACAGCCACTTGAGGAAAGAATATTCTAGTGCCTTCCTCCTTACCTCTATTGAAATGCAAGACGAAGTCATTAGCATCAGGTAGCATACTTGGAACCGAATTAGCATATAGGAAAGAATTCGATTCAGATTTGTCAATACTGTCAAAGCAACGTAAAGATCCGTTTGAACAATCCGATGCAGTCAATGACTGGAAAGAGAAGTCAGGAGGAACACTGGCCAGATATTGTTTTGATCCTCCAGGGTCAACATTACACTGGGGAACAGTGTCATTGCTCATACTAATGGTGCTTCCACTTTCCCATTGATTAGGGGGTGATGGGTTCTGATGTAGGGCTTCATAAAAGGAATTCTCAGCAGCTCGGAGCGCAATGGGGTCATAGGAGAAGCTCTGATCATTATCATCATCCTCAAGCAGTATTTGGTTAAGGTACTTGATCACAGGATCAGATTCCGGCCTAGGAGCATAAGTACCAATGATCCTAGTTGAAGGGGCATCCGTGGCATTGAGAGGTAAAGACTCGTCCTTGGACCTCTCAGCATTACCCAGTGGCTGTTTTAATGTGGTAAAAATGATATCGTTCCCCAGACCGAATCTAGGCAGCATGCTCATCCGATGATCCATGATCCTTCAAACCTATACCTAGTTACATACATATGGAAGACTAGTAAAAAGCCCGGCAGCGAATTAATATGAACAAAATAACTGCACATCACACAACATAAAAAAAACTTGGTAAAAAAAAAGAGATTACTAACCTGCAGATACTGCGAACTGATCAGATGGGAAAACTTACAAACTTCAAATTACAAATGATAAGAAAACACAAGAAAAAAACAAAAAGTTTGAGCATAAAAAAGTAAACCAAATAGCTGAAAAGGAAAGAAAAATACAGAATGCACAATAGAGTTCAATGCCACAAGAATTCAGCAACTGGTGAGAGCAGATTGCACAATTATATATCATTTGAGAAATTAAGACATTAAGAAACAAAAGTCTATTAGTTCAGAAAGCAGTCCAGAGAGCTTTATAGAAAGTCCAAATACCTTTTTGACTCAAATACAAAATCAGATCTGAAGTAATGAAGCTCCATGAATATAATGGGCGAATTTTAGGGATAAACTAAAAGTCTTGCTTTAATGAATATTGATGGGTACAGTTCCCCGTTTTTTCTCTGAGTTTCCCCCCTTTTCCGCGGTGAGAAACCTTCACAATTCCGAGCACCGGCGACGGAGAACTCCGGTTCCACCCCCATCGAAGGATTTGCAGCTGATCTAGGAAAAGACAATCGGTGGGGCCGGTAGCTTTGAAGAAGATCAATAAATACAGAACAAATCAAAAATTAAAAGCCAATGAGAAAAAATGGAGATGCATCACTTCAAAAAGTTGTTTTTCCTTTCCTTAATCAGCTGCAAAAACCATAACTACAGAGTATTGTTTTTTTTACTCGTATTAAAACAATTCAAAAACAAAGCATATTGAGGGAAAGAGTCATTTTTGTGCTATTTACCCATGAACTTTTCGAATATTATGCGTATTCATCTTGAACTTAAAAAATTGTGCTAACATCCCTTAAGTTTTTAAAAATTTTGCAGCAATAATTTCTTCGTGCGAGATTTTCAAGTGCGTTAATTAGACGTCCACCAATATACGTGTCGGAGTTTGAAAAAGATGTCATGGATTGATGAAGAGATTGATCGATTGATGACGATCTTTATCAACTGATGTAACTAATGTCTGACCTTCGAATTTAGCTACCAAAGACTAAGTCGAGAATAATTGTCTAGGGTTTAAAGAAGTTAAAAATACAAAAGATAATGTTAGGAAATGGCATATTACAGAACTACATAAAAATATATGATCTTAGATTAATCCATACTTGCATAATATGAGTGTGTCATTAATACGCTCCCAAATCTAACAGAGAAAGGTCATTTGTGCAATATTTTTAAAAATTCAGAGGACATTGATGCAATTTTTTTAAGTTCATGAGGAACTCATATAATTTTTGAAAAATTCAGGGGTATATGGTTCAAAAAACTCTTAACAAAAACAATAAAAACATTTGTTGAATAAAAATCATTTTGTATTTTTTATTTTAGTTCATATACATAGTATGTAGGACTTCATGTGTCGCAAATAAATTGTTCTAATTTTCTTTTTAGTTCTTCCCAAATTAATTATTCTATTTTCTTAGTTACCTAATCAACTAAAGAGTATTTGATCCATAATTCTTTTGGAAAGTTTTTTATTTGGTCATTAGATTCATACTTATTTTATGGATCTTAGAACAAAAATATCATGTAAGAATTGAGCTTTTTGTAAAAGAAAAAAGATCCGCTTATAAGCGCATGAAAGTGTAAGAAGGTCCATAGTTCTTATGTGGACCTTAGGATTACGGAAGTAGAACTTAATTTTTCTCTTTTATAAAAACAGATTTTAATCACTCACATTGTAGTTTTCTAACACTGTTCTTAAATTTTGTAAAATCAAGCTAGAATGAGTAATGGGGATATAGAAATATATATTTTTATACTAAAACTAAAAATGGATAGATATAATAAGGGATATGGTGTATGGTTGTAGAGATGAGCAAAGGACTAGCATCCAAAAAATGGGTTGTGATATATTAGGACTGAACCGGAAAAGATTAGATCAAAGTGTCCTTGAAAACGGGATGGTTCAAGACCGATAGTCTCATATGGTCGTTAAATTTTGGTAAAAGATTAAATATTTAAATTGGTCTCGACGCAACTCGCAAGTGATTTTTTCAAAAAACCAATGACTGAACTAGGATTACAGTTATGATATATTTAAAATATAGTTTACATATGAAATTTAATTCTAATACTTATGCATTTGTTCTATCAATATAGAGTTATTGTTATTTATTTATTTAATTTTTTAAATTTTATTTATAATAAGAATTATAATTTTAATAATTTTAATTTATGTTTTGAGTTTGTATTTTTATTTTTTGATTTTCTGATTTTTCTTATTATTTATTTTTCTTCTTATTATTTATTATATTTTACTTATGATTATTAATTTGTATTATTTAAAATTTAATTGAGTATTGCTAAATTCAATCCAAAATGGCTATATCATAATTTTTTTTGTCTAAATGTGTTAAATTCACATCCATTAATATAACTTCGACATTTGCGTGCATTTTACAAATTTAATTACATGGAATGGATATAGCGCCATTTTGGGAATAAATTTAGTTACACGAAATTTAATTTTAATTACAAGATGAAAAAAATTAACATGAGAAATTTGATGCTAAAATTTCAAACTTCATCAGTTCATCCCCTTCGTTTTTTTACAACCAAACAGACGTTAGTGGCTCTGTTCCGATCATCCCCTTCCTTCTAAGGGAGGGGTTGTTTGTTTTAGCCTCTTAATGGTTCAGATGTCTGAATGGTTCAGCACTTAATGGTTCAGACTGTTTGTTTCAACCTCTTAATGGTTCAGTCTGAATGGTTAAGAAATTTGCCTCTGAATGGTTAAGTATTATACAGAGTCTGAATGGTTAAGACACTTTGTCTGAATTGATCAGACATTTGCCTTTGAATAGTTAAGCAATATACTAGCTCTTAATGGTTCAGATCTCTTACTGGTTCAGCACTTAATACTTAATGGTTCAGCACCCTTACCGATTCAGAAGTAACATCCCCTAAGTTAGACAGACCTTTTTAGTTGAGCTATCATCTCCAATGTCCGAGATCATCACCCAATCAACAGATCCATCCACAGATAAAATGGAGATCCGGAAAAAAGAGCCATACCCATCGTATCCATTAATCGCGTTGTGTTCAACCTTTCTTTGCTACTTTAGATCTGATTCTTTACTTGGGTCAAAAAGGAATTTAGACTTTCTGCAAAGTTCAATCGAGCCATTTTTTTCTTTCTTTCTCCTGCTTTTTGAATATATATTAGATGAGGAAGTAGTCTGTGTTCATAGTCTCATATGCAAGGTGCGCTCTTAGACATCTCCTGGTAAAGATTTCTACTTTTCATTCCAGTTTTCTTTTCTTCAATTATGGTGATTTGATGTTCATAAGCTTTTCTGTCTACCCATTTTTTTTTGAAGTACAACCCACTGCAGTCTTTACAGAAATAACAGCAATAGCAAGTTACCCATAACAAGCTCTGGTTGTTCGTCATGAATGGTTGCCTTTGTAGGGCTTTGTATTTGCTGGGTGATGTTTTTTTTCCCTCTTCCTTTCCTTATTCCATAGTTGTTTTACCTTACTATGCATCATCTTTTATAATTGAGTTGTTGTAACTTTTGTTTTGAATGTTTTCTTGAGCCAAGGGTCTTTCATAAACAACCACTTGACCTTTTTAGGTAGGGATAAGGTTTGCCTACACCCACCCTATCCAAATTAGTACCTTAGGTCATGTGTTACGGCGGGGCTTGATGGAGTGCCACATAGGCACCCTGTAAGCGGTTGGGTAATGAGTAAAATACGTGTGTTCTGAGGATTGAAAGGGGGTCGTGAGTCGTGACCATAAATGGGTGGGTAAATGTGAATTATTTTGATTGATCAAAATTAAAAAAAGAAGAAGTGGGCGGCAACCCCCGTGACCACCATCACTTGAAAAAGTGTCACACAGGTGTTGTCACGGCATGACGACTGGTGATCAAACCCGGGTCACACACCATAACAAATAATGTTACTGGGTTGGTGTTGTTTGTATTTTTGGACTTCAAATGCTTGGTTTTTGCATTGTTTTTAATTATAATCTATGTCTATTTTTTTAAAAAAAAAAACAATACATGTATATTTTTTAAAATCAATTTGTTGCTTCATTTCCATGTGTATGCAGCTATAGGTTTCTTCTCATAGACGATTATGAATCATTGGGCACACAGGCTACCTGACTCTGTAAGCCGACTCGAGCTAGGGAATGAGATCATTTTTACAACCTTAAAACAATCACTCGATATACCAGACAGTCACAAGGATGACAGTGTACCTATCTGTGCTATGGAGGGCAGGGATGCTTCTTCAACTACAGAACAGCCTAACCTTGGCGCTCGTGCGCCAACATTGGACCCCCAAGCTGATGCTGCGATCAGGTACCTTACCCAGATACTAATGGAGGATAGCTTGGATGAGAATGATCAGAGCTTGTCCTATGATCCCATTGCTCTTAGGGCTGCTGAGAATTCCTTTTACGAGGCCCTCCGTCAGAACCCTTCACCCCCTCATCAAGAACCTCTCTTTATTAACAATAATTCCGAAAGGCCGCACTGTGCAACAGACAGCAGTTTTGAACCTGACCGGTGGATTGTCGACCATGAAGAACCAAAATCTTTTCTGGCGGGTGATCCTCCCGAGTCCTCTTTCCGATCATCAAGCCAACCTAACACAGGTTCCACTAGAAGCAAGAAGCATAACCATCCAGATGATACTGGGTTAGAAGAAGAAAGGAGAAGCAAATATTCTGCAGCTTGTAAGGAGGAGGAGGAGGTTGAGTTGTGGGAGATGATTGATAAGCTGTTGATTTCTACTGATAATATCATAGTTTATGGGGTTCCATCTGTGGTTGGTGGCAAGGGAACACAACAGAACGGACGAAGTGGCATGAAGAGCCATTCCAATAGAAAACGAGATAACACCGAGGTCGTGGATCTGGAGACTCTTTTAATGAGCTGTGCGCGGTCTATTGCTGCTTTCGATCACGAGTCTGCACAAGAAGAATTGAAGATGATCAAGAAGCACTCGTCGCCCACTGGGGATGCCAATCAAAGGATGGCTCATGCATTTGCGAATGCTCTTGAGGCACGGCTTAATGGAACAGGCCCAGAACTCTATGCGGCCTTAGCTCCAAATAACATGATACCTTCTGAGATGTTGAAATCCCATCTTACCTCATGGCCAATCGCAAGGATATCATATTTCCTCTCAAACAAAACGATCCATGAAGTAGTTTCGAAAGGTACATCTGTGCATGTCATAGATTTCGGTGTGTTTTTTGGCATCCAATGGCCCACTCTTATCCGGGATCTTTCACAAAGACCCGGAGGCCCTCCTAATCTTCGAATAACTGGAATCGAGTATCCTCAACCCGGGTTTCGCCCCGAACAGATGGTAGAGGAGACTGGTCGTCGCTTGGCAAAGTATTGCGAGCAATTTGGCGTTCCATTCGAGTACAATGCCATAACAACAAAGAGTTGGGAGAAAATCAAAATTGATGATTTGAAGCTCGCAAAAGGCGAGCTTGTAGCCGTTAACTGTCTCTTTCGACTGAAAACCCTAATGGACGAGACCGTTGGCGAGGACGACAACCCAAGGGATGCAGTTCTCAACTTAATTCGGGAAATAAATCCCCGCGTTTTTGTGCCGACCGTGCTCAGCGGGTCCCACAGCTGTCCTATCTTTCTCTCCAGGTTCCGAGAGGCCTTTCTATTCTACTCCACTGCCTTTGACATGCTTGATGCGACAGTTCCAGACGACGGTAGCAGGCTGAGCTTCGAGCGAGAATTCATAAGGCGCGAAATAATGAATGTCATTGCTTGCGAGGACACGGAGAGGGTAGAGAGGCCCGAAACGCACAAGCAGTGGCAATCGCGGTTTGTGAGGGCCGGGTTCAGGGCAATGCCCGTGAACCAGAAACTTGTGAAGAAGGTGAAAGACAAGGTGGAGGTAGGATATCACAAAGACTTTGTGTTTGATGAAGATGGCCATTGGGTATTGCAGGGATGGAAAGGCCGGACCATTTGTGGTACTTCTTGCTGGGTGCCAACCTCTCATTATGGGTGAAGCCATTATTGTTGTATGCGTATGTTGTTTATCTCTTTGGTTGTGGTTTCATTGTGAGTTGCATATTTGGTATTTCAGCTAATTTTTCTCTTTTGTATTTGTAACGATAAAATTGACAATTTGTCATAAACCGAGTGGATTTAGCCAAAATTGAGAGTAGATATAACGTCTTAATTACTCAACAACGGTCGACTTCAAATCTTTAATTAAATAAATGATTTGAGTGGAAAAAAATATTAATTACCCAACAAACATCTAAAAGTTTCCAAATACTCTCAAAGCTTTCGCATGTAAAAATCATTGAAAGAGAATTTGCATTTTTGGTATAATACTCTCATTTTTATTATGGGTCTGTTTGAGAATAGCTTTAGCGATTAGTGTTAGCGTTTTGAAAAGGATATCTACGGGCAGCGTTTTAAATTTTTATCCAAAACGCTAACGCTAATCTCTAAAGCTATTCCCAAACAGGCCCTATAGCATCAAAGTTTTCTCATGTAAATATATAAATTACTCGTACTGATTGTTAATGTTAATATAATTATGTATTAGGATTAGTTATTGATGATGTTTATATTTCTAGGCTTTTTAAAGTTTATAATATGATTTAAAATGTTTAATAGTTAAGAAAAATAAATTTAATTGACTAATCAATTAGGGTATTTACATTTATATTTTTATGATTTTTTCCATATCACATATACTCATATAAATAAAGCAAAGTACCTAAGAAAAATTGGTTTATTCAGTTCAATTTGGTTTTCGGTAGTGAAAATCAAAACAGAAACCAAACAATAATGGATGGGTTCAGTTTTCTTACATTCCGTTTAGGTTTTTTTTGTTCTATTTTTTGTAGCTTGTTTCTATCCATTTCCCTTATGTTTGCCTTTTTCTGTTTTTGCAGCCCTAATCAGCGGCCAATCTAGGAGAAATTCCCTTCACTTGGAACATTTGGATAAAGTATTTCTTGAGTAAGACAATTGCATGTTATACATGCGATTCATATTTTTTTTGTTCAGAATTTTCGCATGTAGTACATGCAAAAACATCAACATCGCCAGTACGTACAGATTTTTTTAAAATTATTTCGCATGTATTACATGCAAAAATATGATCATCACTTTTTTATTAAATAATTTCTCCCCCAAATGCATATATGGTTCCCTAAAGAATATATAAATAATATTATTTATTTTTATATATATAATTTTTTGTTACATATCATTAAATATGTATTATTGAAATTTTTGAGTATTTACATCAATAATATTTTTAAGAAGCAAAGATGATTAAATATTATTTATAATGAATCCAGTTTTAAAAAAGTACACAATATAAAAAGCACATAGAAAAAAAGTATAATTTAAGAAACACATACTAAAAAAGTACACTTTAAAAATAATTAAAGCATAATTATTAATTTGCCCTACGATTCATCTCTCCCGGATAACGATTTTGCTAACCACGTCCTCGACGGGGAGTCTCTTCTAAGGGACATATCGGTGGCAAGACTTTCCAATCACCAACATTCAATTTTTCTGAAAAAATGAACGGTTCAATCCAACCACTGTAACAACTTAAATATCTCTGAACAAAGTATTTTTCTGGAACAAGATCACCCTAATGAGTCTGGAAACAAAAGACCACCCAAATACCCATAGATGACCTGAGCTGTGTATTGCTCCACCTCTCGATATGTCCATCCAGCATTTGGTTGAACTTGGTGTTCAGGATTTCGAGAAAATAATACTTTAATCTTAAATTGGTCAGGACGACCCAGATGTGCATCAAGAAGTGTCCAATTCAGAGCATGCAAGATATCATGGCCTCTTTGCTCTATAGTGCGTCTCAACTCAAGAAATGCAAATCCGTTAATGGGGAGACCCAATAGACACTCTACATCCTGTAAAGTGATACCCACTTTTCCAAAAGGGAAATGAAAAGCATGTACCTCCGGTCTCCATCGCCCATTGAGAGCGGTGATTAAACCATGGTCAAATATAATAGGGTGCACACGGTGTACCTCATAAAATCTAGCTCTCCGTAAATTTTGGAGAACCCTGGGTTAGGGGTGTGCATTATTCGGTCCGGACCCGGACCGACCCGAAACCCGGCCAAAACCGGACCGGACCGGTCCTTATTCGGTCCTCAATTTTTCCTTATTCGGGTTCCGGTCCGGTCCACCGGGTTTCGGTCCGGACCGGTGGACCAGTTACATTTTATTTTTTTTAAATATTTTTTTTCTATATAGTATTATAATATTGTATTTTTTAAGGTTTTTTCTTATGCCTAAAATTAGTTTAACTTTAATACTAAATTTTTCTAAAATGTTTTGATTTTATTATTTAATATAATTTTTTAAATACATTTTCAATTCAAAATAAGATACCAATTCTAATGATTTTTATATATTTTAAATATGAAAAGTGTGAAAAAGTAAACATTACCTTTATATTAGCGATCTAATGCATTTCAAATTTATATACCAATACTATCACTTAAATTTGTACTTTATCAATAATGAAACGATAATCTGCAAAAACAAACATTGTAAACAATCTCATGAACAAAAATAGTAAAAAATGTATCCGTTTGTCAAAATAAATCGAAAACTCAAAAAAATATTACAAAAAAGCAAAAATGAACGAAGAAGTAGAATATTCTCTATGTAAAATAAAAATTACGAACAAATTTTATGTAATACGGATGGAAGATATATATTTTGTTTAAAGTTTTTTTAAAAATTCAAAACAAATGTGTTTGACAATGTTTAGAGTATGTTACAATTAAAAATTAGTTGTAGTAATATTTTTATTCAATTGAATACTTTAAATTAAACAAATAAAATCAAATTTAAAAAAAATTAAAAATAACATTTATTCGGTCCGGTCCGGGTTTTACCGGTCTGGTACCGAGCCGGTCCACCAAATGCCCCTTATTCAGTCCCGGTCCGGGCCAGGCCGGTCCGGTCCGGGTTTGACCCGATGAACAGCCCTACCTGGGGTCATGAAAAACAATAGGGATGCGACTATAATATCTATCTGAAACTAGTTTATTGTCGCAAAACTCCTTATGTTTCCATACTCGACTAGAACGATGAGTATTATGCAAATGTAACATATCATCTATTCTAGAGCTGCTATCTCTCTCCATTTCTCTTTCTCTTTCGAGGTCATCCATTTTTGCACTACAAAAATAAAATAATAAAAATTAGATTTTTTTATTCTTAATTTTAGTGAATACAAAATTCATTAAAAAACATCTTCATAATTTAGAAAAAAATATATTCATGTAAACACAATCTTAAAGAAATATATTCATTAAAAAATATAATTTCGAAAAAAATATTTTCATAAATTTTTTAAAAAATTAAAAATATTATGGAGCACACAGTTGAGAATATATAAATACAATCTCAATAACTCAAATGAAAATGAAAAATAATAAAAGCATAATATCTATAATCAATATAAGCTAAGTGAAATATAAGTAATAAAAAAAATACTCGAGAAATGCTGAATGTTATGGAATAGTGTGAGAATAGATTAAATTTGAAAAGTGAGTGAAGTGGTGGGTGAAGAGGTGGTTAAAATAAAAAATATGGGTGATAATTAAGAAGATGAAGAGGCAGGTGAAGTTGGATGGTTAGGAAGAAGGTGGTTGAAACGTGTGGTGGTAGTGTAGGTGGGAGTGTTTGGTTAAAGTCAGTTAAAGTGAGCATTATTTTCGCATGTAGTACATGCAAAATAATTAAAAAATAAATTCGCATGTACTACGCGTGATTTCTCTGCAAATTTTACTGAAGATTTTGTTAAAAGATTTTTTTAAAAAAAATTAGTATGTACTATGTGCGAATTTGGGGAATTTTCCGAGTTTAGGAATTAATTTTTTTTTTCGTCTGAGGGAAACGACCCGCCAATCTACAGATCGTTCCGACATCTTGATCGATCATTTCCAGCTTTAACCGGCCGATTGTCCTTTGCGAGATCAGGTGCCATGGAGGGAGTACTGCTTTTCCGGAAGAGTCGAGGCGGGGCTCTCACGCCATCAAAAAATGAGCTTTATATTTTCTCTGTATTCGGGTCAAAAAGGAAATTTGGACTTTTGAGAAATGACTTTTGAAAAATGAACTCTGCATAATGATTGTTGAAAATGAATCCAGTTTCTGTATTTGATTCAAAGTTAAGGAAAAAAAACAGTTTCTCTGTAAAATTTCTAACACAGATTCATTAGTTGCTGGATTCTAGTGGTATCTGCATTCAATTTTCTCTCTTTTCTGCTATTTAATGCTTTATAGTAATTCACTGGTTTTTTCACCAGATATGCCCTGACAGTTTTTTTCTTCTTCTTTTGAAATAATCATTGTATGTTGATGTTTATAAGTTTTCTGTATGATCAATTTCACCTATTTTAAGGTTGAATAGTAATAGTTATAAGAACAATATCAATAGGAATTAACAACAACCATAATAAGCTTTTCGGTTCATAAGCATCTTATATATGCCCAACCAAGCATTTGATATGTTCGGTACTCACATTGTGTATCATGAATGATTGCCTTCATAGGGACTTGTATTTTTTGGGGTGTTTTTAGTTGCTCATCCTTTCCTTATTACATACAAGTAGTGGTTTTAACTTATACCTTTATTATTCATCTTCTTTTAGGTGTTGTATTTAGCCAAGGGTGTTTGTGGGTAGGGTACGGTCTACGTACGCTAACCCACCCCAAAGTGGGATCATTTTGGGTTGTTGTCGTCGTTGGTTATTTTGTTGTTTGTATTTGTAATGTTCATATTTTTGTTTTTGATGCTGTTATTAATTATTAATAAACTATGCCTTAACTTTAACCCCCCATCCTCCCCTCTGCCTTTTCAAGAAAACAAATTTCATTCTCTGCTGTTTACTCGGCTCTCATGTGATTGTAGGTAAATGTTTCCTCACATAGAAGATTATGGATCACTGGGCGAGTCAACAGATTCGAGTTGCAAAACAAGATCATTTTTGCCACCTAAAAACAACGGATATTCCACCAAAGTATTGTGATGACAATGTACCTCTTGATGTGATGGACGCCCCATCAAATTCGGAATGTCCTAATCCTGCTCCTACTTTGGACTCCCCAGGTGATCACGACTCTAATGCTGCGATCAAGTTCCTTAACCAGATTCTACTGGAGGATAACTTGGATGAGAATGATCACATGTCCTATGATCCCATTGCTCTTAGGGCTACTGAGAATTCCTTTTATGAAGCCCTGCATCAGAACCCTTCATCCCGTAATCAAGAACCTCTACGTTTTAACAATAATTCTGAAAGGTTGCGATGCACATTTGGGAGCTCAGGCGATTGTAACACAACTTTTGGCACTGACCAGTCGATTGGCGATCTTGAAGAACCAAAATCATCTCTGGCAAGTGATCCTTCCAAATTATCTTTTGAATCATCAGCTTTGACTAGCTTGGATAATTTTAGCACCGATTTCACTATAAGAAAGAAGCATAACCTTCCAGATAAAAGTGGGTTAGAAGAAGAAAGGAGCAGCAAATATTCTGCAGTCTATGAGGAGGAGGAGGAGGAGGAGGAGATAGAATTGTCCGAGATGTTTGATAAGGTTTTGATATGTGCTGATAATATCATAACTGATCGGTTTCCATCTGCAGTTGGCGGCAAGGGAACACAACAGAATGTACGACGTGGCAGGAAGAGTTGTTCAATGAAAAAAAGAGATAATAGTGAGGTTGTAGATCTGGAGACACTTTTATTCGGCCGTGCACGGTCTATTGCTGCATTTGATCATGGGTCTGCATTCGAAAAATTGAAGATGATCAGGAAGCACTCATCACCTACTGGTGATGCCAGTCACAGAATGGCTCATGCATTTGCAAATGCTCTGGAGGCACGGCTTAACGGAACAGGCGCGCAACTCTCTGAGGCCTTAGCTCCAAATAAGATGGCAGCTACTGGGCTATTAAAATCCTTCCTGATATCATGGCCAATCTCAAGAATATCATTACTCCTGGCTAACAAAATGATTCTTGAAGTAGCTTCAAAAGGTACATCACTGCATGTCATAGATTTTGGAATTTTTTATGGTATCCAGTGGCCCACTCTTATCCGCGATCTTTCACAAAGACCGGCTGGCCCTCCTAAACTCCGAATAACTGGAATTGAATATCCTCTGCGTGGTTTTCGCCCAGAGCAAATGGTAGTAGAGACTGGCTGCCGCTTGGCAAAGTATTGTGAACAATTTTGTGTTCCATTTGAGTACAATGCCATAACTTCAAAGTGTTGGGAGAAAATCAAAATTGATGATTTGAAGCTTGTGAGGGGTGAGGTGGTTGCTGTTAACTGTGTGTTTCGACTGAAAAACCTAATGGATGAGACAGTTGGGGATGACAACCCCAGGGATGCAGTTCTGAAATTAATCCGGGAAATAACGCCACATGTTTTTGTGCCAAATGTGCTTAGTGGATCTCGCAGCTGTCCTTTGTTTCTGTCTCGGTTCCGAGAAGCTTTTTTATTCTACTCTAATTATTTTGATATGTTTGATGCTACTTTACCACACGGTTGTAGCAGCAGATTGAGGTTTGAGCAAGAATTCCTGGGGCGCGAAATAATGAATACCATTGCATGTGAGGGAATGGAAAGAGTAGAGAGGCCAGAAACATACAAGCAGTGGCATTTGCGCATTACGAAAGCTGGGTTCAAGCCTATGCCCATGAACCCGGATCTTGTGAAGAAGTTAAGAGGCAAGGTGAAGGCGGGGTATCACAAAGATTTTGTGTTTGATGAAGATGGCCATTGGGTACTGCAAGGATGGAAAGGTCGGACTCTTTGCGGTGTTTCTTGTTGGGTGCCCCGAAGAGGAACTACTTAACATCTTTTAAGGTATGCTGCTTCCGTGTTTCTGTTTACTTAGAGATAGAGAGACCAGTTTCATACCAATATGTATGTGTTTGTCTAGCTGCAGCCATTCTCTACTAAATTTGCCTGCCCTGAGTCATTTAATTATGGGAATGCACATTATCTCTGTTTTTGTTGCTCTCTAATTTGAAAACTCGTTGATGGATGATTCCAAATATCTTGCCGGAAAAGGTAACCAAACCAATCCTTTTCTAATTTCTATATTTGCTTGATCTTGTCCATTATTGCTTGAGTTTGGCTTGAATCTTTCTTCAAGCAAAACAGGTTTGGGGTTATGTCTTCTTGAAGCAGAACAGATTTGGGATTATGTCTTCTTCAAACCCCTTTGGTTGCTTAGCTTTATCATTTTATGGAGTATTGTTTCCAAAGTTTTCAAATTTTGGGTTGTATATGCTTTGCATGAAAATGTTACGAAGTACTATTTATTTCGGAATCCATACAATACAAGTTCTTTTTTAATCACGTTGATCTATGTCCATAGTTGAGAGTAACATTTCTTTCTCTTATTCTAGACATTCCAATTTTCAGATACTCATTTTCCGGAAATGAACCGAATGGAAATAGTCGATTTTATATTTCCAGCCAAACACCAGCAAAATAAGTCATTTTCCAAAAGATATTTTCCAAACGGACCCTAATAACGATTTAAATGTGCAATTATTTTTGCAGCCCGATTCTCTTGCCCAGTCACTCTCTAACTCCCCCAGCCCGGCCAGTGACACCGTTGCCCTACTTACAACCTTTTTGGAAAAAATTAGTACTCTCTCCGTCCACTTAAGATCTTCTCATTACGCGTTACGAGTTTTGACCGATTCTATTTTTTATTTAATTTAATTGATTATAGAAGTAAAATTTTAAAATAAAATTTATATAGTAATAAATTATATGAAAAGTTCTGCAAAACTAGAGATGACAAGACTATATTATTTTATGAAATGACTAGTAAAATGACCAAACAAATGGAGTGAAGTTTGATCCTGTGAATAGTGACTGGGAAAGATCTGGACAGAAGAAGTTTATAAGTTCATTTAAAAATATATTTACATGACTAACTTTAAGAAATAATATAAATTTATTTAATTTTTTAATATAATCAATTTTAAAATACATAAAAAAATATTATACTCCGTAATTAATGCAATAACATTTTATTAGTTTAAGTAAAACTAAAATACTTACCAAATAATGAAACAACAATAATAAATAAAAGAAAATATCAACCCATGATAAAAAAATTATTCCATTCGTCCTAAAATGTTCTTCTCGTTTCTGTTTACGAGGTTTGACTAACTTTATTTTCAATTCAGTTTATTTGATTGTAGGTGTAAAATAAAAAAAATTATTATATCTAAAAACTATATCAAAAGTTCTACAAAACAAGATATAATAAGAGTATATTATTTTTATCAAATAACTAACGAAAATAGGTAAATAAAATTATTAAAGTTAAACTGTCTGAATAATATTCCCTCTATCCGAAATTATAAAGCATGTTCACTATTCATAGAGTCAAATTTCATTCACTTTTTTTCTTTATTTTCGTTAGCAATTTGATAAAAAAATAAAATAATATTGTCACTACTAGTTTTGTAGATCTTTTGATGTAATATTTTAACATGTAATTTTTATTTTTAAACTCTAAACTATTTATCATATAAAATGATTTGAAAATAATTTTAGTCAAACATCGTAAACCGAAACAGACACTATAAATTGGGACGGAGAGGGTAACTGGAAAGAACGTTTTAAGACGAAAAGAGTAAAAATAACAATTTTTAATGCAATCATAAAGAAAATAATGACATCCCCTCCACCGTGCTCGGCAAACTCATACTCCCTCCGTCCCAATTTATTTGCAACACTTCGAACGATATGCAAAATATCATCAAAAGGATAAAGCTATTTGTACCCCAAACGGAGGGAGAACATGGGTGTTGGTATTCTCTTCATCAAAAGGATAAAGCTATTTGTACCCCAAACTTTTGTACTCCATTTTATACACCGCAGGTTTGCATTGACATTTTGTTTTGGTGTAAAACTAATTTTTGTTAATGCACCAACACTTTGTGTCCGTGTAAATTTTTGATAACGCACCAACACTTGTGTCGGTATAAACCATCAAAATGTGTGTGTATAACTAGGGTGTACAAAATGAATACAAAATTTTGTGTAAGTGTAGCATCACCCTTATGAAAATGCCACATAATCAAATTTTTTATACCAATATGGCTTTAGGCATCCATACCGTCCACACGGGATCTTCTTGCTTCAATGATAATTTATCAATGTAAAATTGACTACTTTTTCTGTCTCAAATTAAATTACTCTCTTTGTTTCTGAGTATTTGTCCACTTTTAATTTTTTTAGTCAAAATTAGTAAAACTTTGACTTCAAATTAAATAAAAATAATATTATATATTGATACAAAAAGAGTTTTCTTAGATTTATTATATCAAATATTTTCAAAATATTATTTTATTTCTTTAAAATATAATATATATTTTATTTAATTATAAGTCAAAAGTTAAAAAAAGTTGACCACAAAAAGTCAAAATTGGACAAATACTCAGGGACGGAGGTAGTATATCTTTACTATTTATAAGGTTAAATTTTATTCACTTTATTTTATTTTATTTTATTTTCATTAGTCATTTGATAAAATAATGTAGTTATGTTACCACTAGTTTTGTAGATATTTTGATGTAGTTTTTAAATATGTAATTTTTATTTTTTAATTGTACACCATTTTCCATGTTTTAAAAATAACTTCAGTCAAACTCACATATTCATATCTCTCAAATTGGGGAGATATTGAAGCCCTTAATTTGAAAGATTTATGATATCTGGAAATATCAAACTCGATGTCTCTTTTGGTTTTACCAAGCACTAAAAAAGGATATTGATATCTTGAGATATCGAAACTCGTATCTCTTTTTCTCAACAAACACCCCCAAGTGTATTATAAGACAAAAGGACACACATAGACATTCAATGTCTATACACACACAAATATTTTTAGGTCCTCCGTACCAGCTTCTTCTACCTATACCGCAGTTGAAGCACCTAAACTAAAGGAGAATTTGGTGTCTTTATGGTCAGTGTTGGAAGCAATCGTCCTTACCGTCGTAAAATAAGAGCACCTAGCTCTGCCCATTCATAAGGACTCGATTCTATGTCCAAACATCACATGCCAGCAGATGTGGCCACCATCATAGGTACTCAAGATATTGTGTCTGGAGAGGTGGATAGATAGGATTGCGTCTTGCTCGATCAGGACCATAGCTTTATTGCGAGCCAAAAACCTTGATAGATTCCAACATGCTCAGTTTGAACAGTCTCCACGTCTCGAAATGAATTCGGAAACTATTAGCTTCACTAACATAGCTTGACTAAATGATGAGTGTAACGATTCGTTTCAAATGAGTTGAACGTAGTTAGACGATGAAAGAGGTACGGAGTGACTCTGAAGAACAAAGATTCGTTCCACTATGTTACACTCATTTCGTTGAACTATGTTCAACACTAAGTGAAACAACGAACAACGAATAGTGAAATAACTATAGAGAACAGAGAACATAGCTCAACTCATTTCGTTTCAAATGAGTGTAACATAGTGAAACTCATTCGAATAAGGAGAGGAATGAAGTCTTTAGAGATTTCGTTGCACTATGTGAAACTCATTCGACCAACGGGAGAGGATGGATGTCTGAGCGGTTGAAAGAGTCGGTCTTGAAAACTGAAGTATTGATAGGAATACCGGGGGTTCGAATCCCTCTCCATCTGCGAGGTCATAAGTGATCTATTGTGTTATCTCGTTATCTATAGATAAGAACGAATTCGACTGATATGATAGAAAGATACGTATTCGTTTCAAGTAATATGTATCTCAGTGAATGAGTTGAACTATTCGTTTCAGATGGAAACTCATTTCCTATCCCGTTGGTCAAATGAGTTTCACATAGTGAAACGAATTCTCTAGCGACTTCATACCTCTTCGAATGAGATTCACTATGTTACACTCATTTGATTTCACATAGTGAAACGAAATGAGTTAAACATAGTTGAACTCATTCGACCAACGGGGCCGGTGGGCGTTGCGCATTTGGCAAGACAAGGCGTGCCAAGAGTACAAACTTCATTCTTTTATACTAAAATCTAATTTACTCCTCTTCGGCGTCTTAGGCGCCAGTGACTTATCTTTCTTTTTTGGACCATGCTACACTTACACCAAAAAATATACCTCATTTGTACATCATAGGCTTGCACAAACATTTCGATGGTTTACACTGACACAAGTGTTGGTGCGTTAATAAATATTTACACGAACACAAATGTTGATGCGTTTAACAAAAATTAGTTTTACACCATTACTTTATGTTGGTGCAAAACTACGGGATACAAATTGGGATACAAACCTTGGGGTACACATAACATAATCTTCTTTTTTTTCTAGCCTGAATTGGGAATAAATTTAGGAAACCCTTTTTGACTTCCTCCTCTGGTCTCCTTTTCTTCATCTTCTTCGTTGGACCCGCATCCCAAGGCTCTTTGTTTTTCTCTGTCTGCGACTTTGTGCGAAGGAATATTTATCGAACGGTTCCAGTCTTCCAGATTGCTGATTTGGAGATCCCCTGTTCCAGATTGTGAGCTGCGTATCCCAGCTTCGGCCATCTTGAATTTTTGAGTTGATCGATCATCTCCAGCATTAACTGGCCGATTGTCCTTTGCGAGAGCAGCTGCCAATCTACAGGTCGTTCCATGGAGGGAGTTATGTCCTGCTTTTCCTGGAGAGTAAAGGCCAGGCGGGGCTCACACGGCAGCAAAAAAGGAACTTTACCTTTTCCATGTATTTTGGGTAAAAAAGGAATTTGGACTTCTGCAAATCATTTTCCTCCTCCTTAACAGACCTTAGGCTCTTCCTGTCTGTTGCTTTCTGTCATGGACTACATTTATTGGATGAGGAGTATTAGAAGGTGCACATTCTAACTTCTGAAAATTTTAAAGGAAAGATATTTTTTTGGGACGAAGAAGGAACGATGAGTAATGTTTTACTCTTCAATGGCTTTTTCAACAGGTATGCTCAAACAGTTACTTTTCCTAATATGAATAATCATTGTATGTTGATGTTCAAAAGTTTATCTGTCTGATCAATTTCACATATCTTCATGTTGAATGTGATTTGCAGTGATTGTCACGTGTCATTAAATCTTTAATGGGTTGTAGTAGTCGTAATAGTTATAACAACAGGATAAACAATAATGATAACAACTATGATTGTCACGTACAAGAATTAACAACTATAATAAGCTTTTTGGCTCACAATGATCTTATTATTGCCTGATCATTTGATGTGTTTGGTACTCTCATTGTTTATGATGAATGGTTACCTTCACAGGGGCTTGTATTTGTCGCGTGTTGTTATTTGCTCATCCTTTCCTTATTGCATAGTTGTTTTAGATTTCACCTTTACTATTCATCTTCTTTTACTCCGGGTACCTTTTTAGGTAGGGATACGGTCTGCATAGACCGACCCACCTCAAAGTAGGATTGTACCGGGTTGTTGTTAATTATTTTTTTGTTTGTAACTATAAAGTTCATAAGTTTGTTTTTGACATTGTTATTACTTATTAATA